CCGCCGATACTGATCCGAGTAGTCTCGCCTGCGCCGTTACAGGTTAGGGATCGGTATCGTCCAAANATAGATTAGAGATTGATGGATTGGTTCTCTTAGAGATCAGCTGAATAGCTTAGATCTCCAACAGTATCTAACAGGTCTCTAAGGGCTAACCTTTACTATCTAGAGTATTGTAATAATACTAATTAGTTAGAATCTACTTATATAAATAGTTAAGGAGTAAGATAAAAAGAGAGAGAGATTCTCTAACAACTTAACTCTTCTTATCTTTCTTCTTCTATACTATAGACTAATATAAACTTATTTAAAGACCTCTTCGCTCTTAATACTAACTACTACTTTTCTTACTACTATCTAGAATTATATTTTAACCTTTTCTAATATAGTATATAATAGAGAGAAGGTAAGTACTAGATATAGCTTTTTAACTATAGTAATACTAGTGATCTATAGTAAAGATTAATACTTTAAAAACGTGTGTTTTACTAAACATAATTATTATAATACAGGCTTATAAGTAGAAAGAGTAGACACGTATATAGGTTCTATTACTATAGCTAATTAATAGGCTCTTACTATAGGTAGTAGTTATAGAGTAGAAGATAGAACGTAGCTTAAAGAGCTCTCTAGACTATAGTACTATAGTTTTATAGAATCTAGGTACTTAAGCCTATATCTAAATTCTATTAGTAGCTAATTAGGAGGCTACGCGTTAGCTGCCTCGCTAGCACTATAGCCCTAATAGCTACCTAGGGATTTCTAGCCTCTTGCACCTAGAAGCTGCCGGTCCGCTGCTATGTTAGCTAGCGCCGTGACAACAATAGCGTTTTTAGCTGTAGTTTAAAAACACAGCCTAGATCTAGTAATAAAAACGTAAAACGCAAAACGTAACCGCGTAACTGAATAAGCTCTTAGAGTACTATACATCCTGGTAGAATTCGTAACGTATTATTAGGCATTATCCAGCCCCGAGAGCTTATACCGCCATAACTAGTCATCCATTCGTGGCAGGTCCTACGTTGTGTCCTTCAAAGGCATGGCACGCACTTACGGTTGTTAGAAGACGTGCCTGAGGCTTTTACTCCAGGGATCTACCTTGGGAATCTTCTTCTTCTTCTTCTTCTTCTTCTTCTTCTTTCTATTGATTTAAGAATAACGTCAAAGCTCTCTCGGGTGTGCGGGCTTCTTTTCGCGAATCCAGCTCCCCTTTTCTAAGACTTTCCAACGTCGTTAGTTAGCACGATCTTTTAGTATCATGCGATGGTACAACTTGGAGACAACCACTCTATAATTTTTTAATGCTACCATATTATCCGAGAACAACGGAGTTGTCGTCAGTCACGAGAGCTCTGCACCGGATATTTCCATGCAATCATAGAGACAACAAGCTGGGCGATGCCCACCAACACGCCAAGAAAACCAAATAGAAAACTTAGAAACAAGCCGATAATCGCAACTGTCAGCGCGTTCCTTTCTGACGTGTGGCGCTCAAACCACGCAGTGATCCTGTGCTTCGGTGGTGGTGTCTTCACCAAATTATGCAAGTTCCGTAGTCTTTTACTCCATTACAGGTACTTGAAGTCTTCCGGGATCAAGAATGGTATTCGGGTGAAGATGCGCAGGCTAGGATCGAAGGGACATTCCTTTTGCTTCACAGGGCGCTTCACGATCTTGTCGGTTTTGTCACAACGCCCAACCGGGAAGAGAATGTTATCTATAGTGAGAAAGGTCTCAACAAGGAGCTGCGGGGGCAACCTGCCACTAGAGTCGGTACATCAACACAGGACAACTGGCTTTTAGAATCGGGAAATACGCACGCAGAAAGGCTAGTCTCCACTAATTCATCGAGGTTTTCCGGGTCGATAAGTTTTATCTAGGCTTTGAGCCATTCAACTTGATGGAAACCCATTAGAGACTTTCGAGCCGGATTGTAGACCAGGTGCGCTGCGAGATCGTCGGTCCGTTCGATCCGGATTTTTAGCCTTTGACGGAGTTTCGATGCCTTCAGAAACTTTTTCCCAGTAGAGAGTGTCCATAATTCTTGGGTGTTGGTGGTAGTAGGAAAAGCAGTATTGAAAAAATCTTTGAATGTCTGCTCTGACTTCCACTCCACAGGGAAATTTGGGTCGTTTTCGAACCGAGACATGTTTGAATATTCTCTGTATGATGCAGGATCGATTAGATAGGCGAGCTTCACTGTTTGCCGTAGTGTGATTCCCTGGTCGACACCGTGTGAAAAGGTCTCCATCGAAAAGGCGTTTGCAGTTTTGTCATGTCCGAACCTCAGCTTCTCAACTGCCTCTATAACTCTTTCGTTTATTGTTAGACCGTTCCTGTCAATTTCGATAGCGATGCTGCCGTTATGTTGCGAAGAAGGTATTTCCGGAACCACAACTTTGTAGAACTGACGAAAAGCGTTGATCTGGAAATCTTCCAATTCGGCTACACGCCAAAGCGCTTTCAGCGTATCGTCAAGGGAGACAGAGGTGTTGCCTCTAGCATCCGGAGGAGTTTGAGTGCTGTTCATGGCGACAGCTTCGATGTGCGGGGGCGGAGTCAAGCTCTGATACTAGTGGCGAAGCTGCTTGCTTTTGCTTCGCAGCCAAGGCAGCTGAAAAAATAGGCGCGGGCCAGACAGACCCTGAAGAAGCTGATTTGCAAACTATATGCAGCCAAGGCAGCCGAGAATAAGAAGCGCAGGCCAGGCAGAGGATAAAGCAGCTATCATCACCGGCAGTTCTGGGGGAGTCCTTCTTTTTCGCTCTTACACGACACTCCTACATATCAAAACACCTAATACACTATTGCAATGACCTCTGTTCAGAACTCAGTGACTGACTCTTCTGTGTCCATAAAGCAGGCAGATATGAACTCTTATTCTGCAGACACCATGAAGGACAGTTCAACAAGCGGAGTTGAACAGAACACCGTCCGTCCAAGACTGCCGATGCCAACAGCATCCACAGGAACCCAGGAGGCAGCACGGAGTATTTTGAATGCTGAAGAAGGCAAGCCTGCGTGCAATTATACGCGAACGGGTCATCTCGCTACTGGTGACCTGAATCTTCCGGATAACCCACCGGTCGAGCCATCGACTCTAAAAAGAGCAGCACTGCTAACGACGCAGACAAGTCAACCGCAGGATGGCTTCTTCAATATCTTGAAATGTTCTTTGACCAGGAAGAAAGCACGTACCATGACATCGACTTCAACAGGATCACTACCGCCTCCAGCAGCAACGCCAGCGCCAGGGAAATATCGGCCCGCGCATGACTTTCGCGATCCTTTGGAGATACCTTTCCATGGGAAGAAGATCTTGGTCTATCGTCATGCAGACGCTCACATTAGCCAAGAGCACCACCGGCGCTTTCCCGATATTCTAGAGCTTTTTAGGCAGCAAACACAAAGAGATAAGAACCTCTCAGCATCTTCCCAGGCTAATACCGAGTACAAGGTCAAAATGTGTGGTGTGAATCCAGAAGATAGCCACGCGTCAATTCTGATCCTCCATCCCTTGGAGTATTTCGAACAGGGCAAGTGCATACTCAAAAGCCTAAGTGCGCGCACTCTGGAGAACCAGTACAACAACAAAAAGATGGGCCCAATCTTCAAACTCTATCTCTTTCTTTCGGAAGGCTCTCAGATGCTGGGGAATTTCATGAACTCACTCAGCATACACATAGACAAAGAAAACCTTCTTGGTGCCCAGCTCGTCTCGAACGATGAACGATATCAGACCAGCACTATTACGTGCAGTGTCCAATTTGATGGAAACGATACTGTCTTTGCTCTAACGACTGCTCATGCATTCGAGGACAATGAAGCTGAGGAGAGCGATAAACCTGCCTGGAACCCTGATGACACAATTCCTAATTATAGTGGTTCAGAGAGCGATGATATATGTGATAGGGGACCCTCAAACACAGTTTACGAATGTGATACATGCGACGACGGACCCTTATACACACTTGACGATTATGACTGGGAAAGGATTGAAAAAGAAGCAATCACAGCGAAGGAGGACCGAGAGCCGAGTCTCGATAACCCCAAAAAACCAGATTCTTCGAAACAGAAAGTTGAAAGACATCCCAGCCGCTTCGAGATCGCGCCTGGCTAGGTATGGGGCAGACCAAACGACCCAAAATGGGCAGTTAAGCCAAACCTTGACTGGGCTTTGGTAGAAATCCCAACTCGATATGTTCTTGTCAAGGAAGACGAGATAACATCGGACGACCTTCCCAAGACCTCAGCTATGGTTGTTGTCTCCACCCGTTCTGGATTTCATGAGGGAACCCTGTCGAACATTCCTTCATATATCTCCAGATCGGGGAATCTTACACGCTGGACCAAAATTTGGACAATCACCCTCAAAAACAAACGTATGCCTTGATCATCGCCGATCGTTACACTGTTTCTGCTAACCACTAAATAGAAGAAAGTAATCTACGCATAGGCGATAGTGGCTCACCAGTACTTAACCAAGCACGCAATCGAGTATACGGCTACGTGACGGCATTGAATTACTTTGAAGAGCTTCATGTCATGCCGCTCCAACCAGTGTTGAACCAGATAGCGGAGATGGTACAGCCACTCAAAGCCACAATAATCACTAGAGTGCGAGAAAATTCAGAAAATCAGATGGCTAAAAGTGCCCAAGAATCGGTGGTCAGCGATCGTTTACTGCGGTACTGGCCAAAAGAACCAGCAGTGGTGCCTGACATGGATCCCCAGCCGTTGACTCTCCCGTCGCTGAAGAACGCTAGTGACGATCTGTTAATGCTCAGGAATCTTGCACGAAGGCTGAACAGTGGACATCGTGTTTTCTTCCATGAAAGAGCTATTCGCGAACTAAGCAAACAATCAACACTGCCTAGTGATATCCTCGAGACCGTTGCAGCAGTGCTGAGGAATAAGAAAAAGGATATTAGGGCTTCCGCTATCACAATACTATGCAAACAGGCAACGCTTCCTGATAATATCCTAGATACCTTTTCAGAATGGCTAGAGAACAAGGATAATCTTGCTGAGGTCACTGATATTGAAATGCTAAGTGAACACCCAGTGTTGCCCAACAAAATTCTCGAGGTTATTGCAGCAAAGCTAGACGATCAGGATAACTTTGTCCAAGCCGCAGCTGTTGAAACATTGGGAAAGCGATTAGTATTACAAGAATACCCAATCACAGAAGCAATAATTAAGGCAGCAACGGCAAACGGCAGGAGCGGCAAAAGGTTAGTGACACTCCTGCCTGACCATCGAGGAGCAGACATCCCGATCATAGAAGCAGTGGTGATAGCAGCCACATCAAACAACAGCAGTGGGAAAGACGTAATGGCAGTCCTGCTAGACCGGTTGAGATCAGATATCCCAATTACCGCAGCAGTGGCGAAAGCAGCCGCATCAAACCATAGTAGCGGCGGAGGCGTGATGACGCTTCTACTCGACCGGTGTGAAGTAGATATCCCAATCACAGAAGCAGTGATAGATACAGCCGCGGCAAATGATGGTAGCGGTCCAGAAGTGATGAAGGCTCTGCTTAGATGGCGGGAGTCAGACATTCGGATCACAGAAGCAGTGGTGAAGGCGGCTGCAAGGAATACATGTCAAACTGTGATGACTGTACTTCTTGACTGGCGAGAAGAGGAGGTGATTGGAGTCCTAGAGAATATTGGAGCAAGCGACGAAATTGAGATACGTGGGCCACGATTGTTCCGTGCGAAATCTGCTTGGGAGTGGAATTACCATGCTCTTAGAAAAGGTGTCTTCAAAACTTCATAGTATATCGATACCATCAATGGTCCATCAAGATTGCAATAACCTTCACGTCGTACTTCTGAGAAATCGAAACTGTGTTACCGGCAGAGAGGCCAGATCAGCGAGTTTACATTTGCATGCTGTACAGGAGAAGAAACATGGGGAGAAAACATACCATGTATATGGATACGATGAGAGAAGTTGGGTAGTGAAACGATTGAAAGAAGGATTGTATTTGTCTAAGAAGAAGAAAAGGATTCGAGAATAGGATGTTCCGAGAAACAACTTCACGGCAGTGAGTAGGTAAAGCAGTGAGACCCCAGTCCAATCAAGCCATGTGGAACAATACACATCAACACTGCATGTACCGCTTCTTTCAAACTCCTTTCAGCATGCTCACAACTTCCATCTTTTCCCACTTTCCCCACATCTCCCGACCTTCCTGTCCTACCCTAATTCCTCATCCCTACACGACTTCGGGGCAATCAACGGATTACACCTGGCAGGTCTCCCCCTAGGCAGACTCGCCACATAATCCCATCCCCACCTCGAACTCATGCCCCAAGCAGGGTAATCTGTACTCACGATCTGGGCGCCGCTCGCCAACGCAGCATCTCTCATCTCAATACTGCGGTTTAGCACCGTGGCAACCGGTGCATCAGCGCGCGTACGCACGAGGTAACCTTTGCGCACCAGACGCTGAATTTCCGCCGTGTTGTTGGCATTCCGCGGCTCGTTGTACTTGATAAATGCAGCATCTCCTGAGCCTTCACGCGCGTTCGTGAACACGGTGCGATTCTCTAGGCTGGGTGCATCCGCGGTGTAGAGTTCGCGGGGCGAATTCGGGTCAGTCCGGTTGGGATCGTTGTCGAAGAAGAAGAGGATGCGGCCGCGGACAGAGTCTAGACTGGGCCAGCCGTGCGTCAAGATGGATTGTTCGAGAGTGAGGCCTGGCTTTCGCACGTCGTCTGGGCGGATGAGCTGCTCGCGCGGGAACACGGAGAGTATTTCTGCGTCAACGTTGAGGATGCGTGGTAAGGTCCAGTTTGTAGCTTCGCCTGGGGGAATACCACCAAACTTTCGCGGGAGGACGTCGGCTTTCAGTTCTAGGTCGATGGTGATAGGGACATGGCGGCGGTGGTTATCTGACCAGGTTTTGATCTGCTGGAGACACTCGATAAAGGTATGGCAAACGGCGTCCATATCGACATCCGTTATGTGGAAGACTTTGATCCCCGGCTTCTTGAGAATCTCGCCGTCGAATGGCGTCGTGGTGAGGTTCGCGTCTTTCGCGCATTTCCAGATCAAGGGAGGATAATATAGACCGCCTTTTTCGTCAGAATGCAGGTCCAGTTGGAAGGAGCGGACGGATTGGTATTCTAGTTGCTTGTGTAGCTCGGCGTGAGAATAGTATAGATTTTGGGGGGAAGGAAACTGCTCCACAGAGGCCGTGGTGTTTTCAAAGAGGTTGCGCCAGGCTAAAGATATCTCGCGGTGGTACGAGTTGTGCGTGCCGATGACTTGGATGTGGTTGAAGCGGATGTCGGACCTTGATGCTAGTACATTTTCTTGAACTTGTTAGTTGTGCTAGACGTTCTTTGAAGCTTTGGGGCATCGCACGTGCAAATAGCAGTGTGCTCGCGGAAGTCTGTCATTGTTAGTTCATCGACAATGCTTCCCGTTGGGATAAGAGGAATGTTACCCATGGAAACCACATGTTGTCATTTTCTCTGTCAAATGGCGCGTACAAAACAAGACCCTTCGGAGTAGTGAGAAGCAATGCTTCCAGGAGCAGATTTCGCCAGCTATATACCTTCTTAGCCATGTTGATTCCTTCCGTACCGGCATAGGGCTAAATCATAACGATCATTGTTGCTGCTGTCAAACGTATGATACCTGCTGTTGAGCATAAGGCTCCTGCTGTGAAACAGATCGTCTCGGCAGCTACTGCGTGCGTGGTCTTGTGTGCCCCTGCCATTGGTCAATCGCTTAACATAGAGGCGGCTTGCAACTTCCGAGACTATCTAGGCGTTCGTATGTCGGGTAGATAACATATGATAATAGACTAGACTTTTTTTATTTTGCCCTAACGCCATAGGTTGATAGTGTAAAGTAGTGGTGACTAGGCAGAAGGACCAATGCTAAGCAACCATTCGTATCTGCCAAGCTAACTTCTTCTTCAACCACCTACATGCATGTCTCCACCGCTCACTTGCCCGGATTGAAATGTTCCCATGGAGCTACTGATTGACATTTTCTTCATCCCATTCTTTACCAATATGTCTTTTGCTTATGTACCGAGATTCGCGTCATGTTCGGACATGACCACGCCCTTCATTCGCAGTGCTTCCATCACACGCTGTTCTTTGTATGCTGCTTCAATTTGTCGTTATACCATATCCTTGTCCACATCGTGTTCGTGACTACCTAAATACTTCACCGTCAGCAGGTCTAATAATCTGACGGGCCGGCTTGAGCCAGTAATTGTATCAACGAAAAGGCTATTATGACAGGAACTTTAGAGATCACCTGCCTAGAGGTGTATCCTCGCTTTCTGAATAATGTAGTACGCTTTGCAATGATTGGATCAATGGTTGTAGGTCTACCTGAATTTCAAATCACTTCATCATATGATTATGACCAATGTATCTCTACTCTCGACACGGTCCGATTTGTAAGGTCCAAGCATTATTTGCCATATTGGTGGGCGATTTTCCATCCGTTACCAAGTAGCCCAAGACGCTCATATTCTGGCCCAGACATGCTCCGTATCGTCTCCCTTAACCGACCAGAGCTTCAGTCTCCTCTGATCCGTCCTCTTGTATTCACTTGCTAATACACGGCTTGATTGAATTAAAATTCAATCAATGAACCGTGTGCGAGCTCACCCAATGTTACGTAAAGTGCTAAACGCCCTCGAGGAGAGCTTCCCGGTAGTATCACGGTACGTGGCTATAGAAGCCTGATATCGGATCTACCACCAAACGCCACCAATATAGTACGGGATGTACCGTACAACGAGACACCAGGTTAGCCGTAACAGTATGGTCACTATACCTTAAATCAGAAATGAAATTACGATGGGCTGCAACCCAGAACAGAAAACTCAATCGACCACGTCGTAGACAGCTCCAGAACATGGCAGTCACGATATATGTTTATTATGCAGGAACCGCCCATGCGGTGTCTCCTTTCCATTCACGCCTGGGAAGAGTTGGATTTTGCAGTCTTCTTGAACCTTTCCACTCACTTTACAGAATACCAAGTGGCTGAGCGGCTGCGGTACATCGTCTCAGCATATTATCCCTCATAGAACAGGCTAGGGTCCTAGTGTGTGAAATTTTCCTCGCTTTACGAAGCGATAATTGCAAGATCAGCTGCATATTTCAATTGCTCGTGCCAGTACCTTGTAAAAGAGGAATGTAAATTTTCAGTATGCAGATATGGACTTCTGATTCAATATTGTAAATATATTCCGATCGAATCAAACCGCGTAAGTACCGGCAACCCTGTTCATGAAAGCAGGGAGTTTGTGGAGTGCTATGTACCTGATGACCTACTCCAAAGAATCGGAGGCAAGAGAGCAGATCAGGTTATGGACGGTATGAAGGACGCAAAGCATGCTACTATTGAATCGGAAAAAAACTAGAGTGGGAACACATGGGTCTCTTTAGCCAACCTGTACTCCTTGTGTTGGAATGCGACACTATGCAGCACAGGTCCATACGCCAATTGTACCCGTCTATGCACGGCAGGGGCGAAATTAGCAAAAGTTAAGTATTTGTAGAAAAGCTTATTGACTTGACAGTCCCCCACGGTGTCTCAATCTCGTATTGCTATCTTACGTAGTAAGCGTCGGGGACAGCCGTTGTGAGACAATACCTCAAAGATGGCAGACTTGATTGGGCCGCGCATCGCCAGTTCGGTCAAAAACGCTCTCCCGCCAGGATATCCCTGGTTTAGAGTCTAAATTAGACTTCCCGGCAGCAGTTGCTTAGGTAAATTTTCAATGAACTCTACGGTGTCAGAATGCCAAGCCTTTTTCTAACCAATGGCTGGTACAGACATGGCCGCCTTAGCTTTGGGTACATAGGCCGAATATCATATTCTGGAAGTTCTAGAGGCGCACGGGAATGACGGTTGCGCGAGTCAGGAGACTGTTGGCGGAAGCATGGTTCATGCACTCCAATGGCTACGGTAGTTATGCAAATCCCCCACGAAAACTAGTCCTTTCTCTCTACAATACCTGCCTTCTTTTTCCAGTTGTTGTACAGTAATTTAGTCCTCAATATGGTACTGTATTTCAGCCAAGCTACAACACCTAAGCAGACACTTTTGTTTTGAGCAGGCAAATCTCTCTTCGAGCGGCACAATTACCCAAATAAAGCCGACTGCTGTCAGCAATGTCACCGTCAGACTGACCGCGAAATTGAACATCGTCCGGCTACTCTCTCCGACCACTAAATATAACCGCTACTGTCAGAATACCGTGCGCTATGATCATTTGGCGCTCCGAAAAAACTCCAATTAACGTTTGAATACCCAGCCCAGACCTCAAGACCAGAGCTGTCATTCCACAGTAACATCGTCGGTGATGCTTCCTATAAGACGGTCATTGACTTCGCGTTTCAGAAAATACTCACGACAGTCGTCTCGCTCTCGATTCTAATTGCATATACTGCACGCCACCATCGTTTTCATAATAGCCGATAGATCACATTCATTTTTATTCATAATAGATAGCCAGTCACTCTCACCATGTTGACCCTCGCTAAAGCCATCGCTATACTCGCCTACACCAGCGCAGTCACTGCCACACCTGTTCCAGATGGTAAGTTGAAGCAAATTCCTTCAATAAAAAAACTTGTGTGAACTTGGCTAATGTTCAATTCAAAACAGCTGGCGCCACTTTTACTCTAGAGTCGAGAGAAGTCGATCCAGCCCCTCTGCACCAGCTCGAGCACATCGTCAACATCAAGCGCAAGGCCGGTGTCGAGGTGCACCCCAAGCTCGCCGAGGCTGCGAACCAGTTTGCTGTGAAGAGACACGCCGAATTGGCTGCTCGAGAGGCCACTGGCACCGCATATGGTAAAAGTCCTCGCTCATGGGACGCTGCATTTATCTATCCCGTGCAAGTCGCTGGCAAGACATTCCGTCTCTATGGAACAACTTCAGCCTCTGATACGTAAGCCGCACTCCGCATATCTCGGTAGTACTCATGAATTTCGCGCTAACGCTTACTCCAAGCTGGGTCTATTCTTCTGCCATACCCAAGAACCAGACGAGCGGTCACGCCCTCTACGACCTCAACCCTGCCCACAAGACACCCGGTAATTTCACTATTGGATATGACGGCGCCAACGCACAAATAGCTGGTGATTTATACGTCGAGCCAAGTAAGTCAAATCCATATAGTAGTAGTGGTGCAAGTCGTTGCAAAAAAAAAGGAGACAAGCCTAGCTCCAAGTTTTTTTTTTTACTTATGCTAATTCAAACTCTTCAAACAGTCACTGTCGGTGGCATCACAGCCAAGACAACCTTTGGAGCCGCCACCCAAGCCATCTCGGACTTCACAGACGACACGGATGCAGACGGCTTCCTCGGACTCGGCCCCATGGAATACAACTTCCTCGGCGACCTCGGAACCCACAAGACCTGGTTCAGGGAAGCGCTCCCACAGCTCGCAAAACCCGTCTTCAGCGTCGTCCACACAAAGGGCCACGGCGTCTTCGAATTCGGCTTCATCAACACCAAAAAGATTAACGGCGCCATCACCTGGGTCGACAACGTCCTCGAGGACTATTGGGCCGCGTACAGCTTCTACGGCGATGGCTGGAGCGTCGGCGACAAGAACGCAAAGACTAGCCCCCGAAAAATGAATATTCATCTCAATGCTGGCACAGATGTTAGCTTTACAGATCCGGATATCGTCAAAGAGTGGTACTCCAAGATCCCGGGCGCAGTCACAAAGGACGAGCAGGGCTACACGATCCCTTGCAACAGCAAGCCTCCAGGCTGGACCGTCGTTATTGGCGGCCGCAAGTTCTTCACACCGGGTTGCCAGCTCATTTCGCAGCCCATGGATGACGAGGGCAAGATCTGCCTAGGTGGTCTGCAGAACATTGGTGGAGGCGTGGATTTCTCTCTCTTCGGCATAAACTTTTTCAAGGGCAAGACTATCATTCATGACTTTACGAACCCGAAAAAGGTTAAGCTTGGGTTTGCGCTGCAGCCTGGTTCCCAGTAAGTAGGCTGTTGTTCCTAAGCTAGAGCGAGTTTCCTAACTTGTGGTTGCTTGCCATAGACAGTGCTGAATCGAGTTTTGATTGGGGAGAAGGATGATGCATCGAGCAGTCGTGTAGAAAGAAAAAGTAATATGTTAATGTAATGGAGTAACTATCATGAATCGTCAAATAAATACATGCAGACTCTATTTAATGCGCATGATGAATAGTGAACTTGGTAGTTGTCATACACATGTCTACATGCCGACACGCTCTTCACGTGATCCCCATCCTCAGCAAATATCCTACTTAGTTTATTGTAAGACTAGACTATATGAAGGTAACCTCTATGCCTCGAAACGGTCTCTTTCAATCATCTTACGCTTCTCTTCCTAGCTACACTGGCAAATATGATATTTCCGCAAACCATTCTCAAGCATTTGATATTTTCAATTGACAAAAGCCCACTTCATGTTTCTATTGTAACGATGCACAAGCGCGCGAGGCAAGTAAGAGAGGCAAAATCTTCATATCATGTACACTCATGACTTCATATCAATTACGTGGACGCCATCACTGGCAAAAACTCTATATACACTACTCTACTGCACGAATCTCTACGCCTTGGCTTCAGCGCGATGGTTCTGGGTTTCAACATTCTCCATTTCGACTGTGGTAGCCTTCTCGCCAGCATGGTCGAGAATCTCAGACATGGCGCCAGTGCCGCGAGTAAGCTCTGCGCCCTTGCGACCAATAAGGTACCAGGGCAGATTGAACATCTCGTCGAGCGACTCGAGCGACTTGCCAGAGGTCTCTGGGAGGAAGAACCAGACCCAAACGAGACCAATGGCAGTGACGCACGAGAAGAAAAGCATAGTGCCGCCGTGGGTCATGGAGATGAACATGAGGGGCACGGCCTTGGAGTTTCCGTACTGGTTGACAAAGTGGAATGTCATGGCAATGGAGCCACCGAGCGCACGGAGACGGAGAGGGTAGATCTCGGAGTTGATCAGGTACTGGATCGAGTTCCAGCCGAGAGCCCATCCGAAACCGGAGAAGTAGATCATGACAATGGCGCCCATGGCAGCATGCTTCTGGCTCGAGGTTTGTACAGTGCCCTTCTCGCCAATGCCGGTGTCGATGAGCAGGAAGATGGCCATGTACAGCATGGATACGAGTTGCAGTGTGATACCGGTAGACAGAGAGCGCTTGCGGCCAATGTAATCAATGAGGAAGAAAGCGCAGAGCATAGAGCTGACGAACTTGACAACACCAAAGATGGCAGTGGCAAAGAGCTTCTCGCTTTGGCCAGTCTTACCCATCATTGCGAAGTATTGAGGTGCGTAGATGGTGATGCCTTCAGAGAGTTAACAAATATCGCAACAAGTTATACGCACAGGCAATACATACTGTTCGCGCCGGACCACTGAGAGAGTAATTGGGAAAAGACGGAGAGCTGGATACGGTAGAGGTTGGCCTTGCTGCTGAATAGCTCACGGATTGGGCCGAGCCAGGAGGTGCCCATGGTAGCCTCGCGCTCACGGTTGAGCTGGTCGTTGATGTCCATAATCTCAGAAGTGACGTAGGGGTGGTCTTCGGGAAGCTGGCGAAGAATCGACAAGTTCTTCAGAGCATCCTCGTGGCGACCAACCTTGATCAACCAACGAGGACTCTCCTTGGCAAACCAAGAGAGGAGAAAAATGATACCGGCGAACATGAGGTGCATGCTGTTGGGGACTAGCCACTGGGTGTCGGTCTTGGACGAGATGTGGATGGACGAGCCCCAGGAGGCAAAGTAGGCAAGCATGATACCAATGTACACGGAGCCAGCGAATGCACCGACACAGAGACCTCGAATAGCCCTTGGTGCAGTCTCGGCAAGATAGGTAGGAGCAACGACAGTAGTCTGGCCGATTCCGACACCCGCGATAAATCTTCCGACGTAGATCTGGCCAATAGATCCAGTCAAGGAACTAGTGAGGAAGATAGTGATGCCAATGACCCAGATGATGCAGAGCTGGCGTGTAGCCCAGAGACGGCCAATCTTGTCAGTGATGAAGAAGGCGATCAAGGATCCCAGAATGGATCCCATCTGCACCATGGAGGTGATGTTAGACAAGAGCTCTGCCTTTTCATGCTCGCTCTTGTGGTTGTCTGCGAGACCAAACTTCTTCTGAAAAGGAATGAGTTCAGCGGTTGTGCCGATCAGACCTTCGTCAATACCACGGGCAGCACCCATGATTCCAAAGACTGCGCTCTTGTTAGGAACAGGAAGAGTGAGATCAATACGATGGGTTTCTTACCAAAGACACCATACCAGAGACGCCAGTTAAGGCTCTCCTTGGGGGTGTCCTTCAAGTTCTCACGCCAGGGGTTCCACATGCTGGGCAAGATTTTGCAGATGCTCGTACAAAGTAGCGGTTCAGATACTCTCGAGCTGGGATAACTGGGTCTGTCCAGCAGCGTGGAGAGGCAGTACAGACTCAAACTCCAGGAAAATTTGCGCGCCTCTTATATGTATTGAAAAGGTGGTGTGGGGTACGACATGCGGAGAGAGTACGGCTACCAGGCCACCATACCACACCATCCCGGATAGACCCCAGAAAATTCGGCCCCGGTGTAACTCCACGTTCACTCGTTGTCAAGGGGCGCTGTCTCCCCCGGCGGGCGGGATACAGGATGGTCTTCCCAACATTACTTTCCCCGACGTACGATAGGCCAAGCGCGTTGTCGGCGTTTGCGAGCGTTGCAACTTGGCCTTGTTGGGCAAGCCGGGTGCGCATCCTCTTGTCATAAGTATCCGAACGATCAGGCCATGGCCTATCGCACAGCATGCCGTGCTGCAGGTCGCGCGCCCAGACTTGCTCAGTGGTCCATTGAGGCTTGAGTAGAGAAAGCTTCCTTGTTGGTGCGTCTTGTGGAGCTTGGAGTTGGGCTAAGCACCGAGTCAGTTATTGGCACCACTACCCAGGAAACCCCGCATCATTCCCCAATCGATCCCGCCTCCCACACTTTTTTTAACCAACCCAGCCAGGAAGCTGCGTGCAATAATCAATAGCGGCCGGAGAACTGCCGTTATGGCCTATGGAATCGTTGCGAACGCCCGATGGAGAATGGCCTTGACGGGTGAAGTAGGGTCGCTCATGCTGACCATGCTGCATGCCTCGTGACGAGCTTGGTCGCGCGGCAGAAATACCTCCGAACGGGTGGTGTTTGGGCAGAACTTCGGCTTTTGAAATTAAGCTCACGGACAAGCCCCATGGCGGCGGTGTGGTGTCAAGCGATGCGGCTCCAAATCCTTCACCTGCGCTAGCTACTTGGCTCCTCCAAACGCATCTGCCGATTTTCGAGTGCTTCTCCAACTCAAATGGTGTTGATTAGACTTTGGCTGTGCATACTTACGTGGGGTCTTTTCATGTAACGTTGGGTGTTGTGCTCGCCGATAACACGTGGTGATCGTCACCCCGGCCATATGTCATTCTCTGCGTTCCTGGGTTGACAAGTTGAAAAGCGGCCCGCATGCATCGGCTGTCAAGGATCAAGCAAGGTGGCAAAGCGACCAGGAAGCACCATCCGACGACGCACACGACAGGAGGCTCTCGTTTGCAAAGATAATGCCTGACTCGCAGGCACAAAGCTTGGCAACATTAAGCGCCCCGGCTGGACCGTTTGGTGAGGCTGCCAAGGTGATAATTCAGTCTCCAGAACCCACCGGCTTTTGCTCTTTCTCCGCAAAGCTTTGAGCTCGGTTTGTATGCAGGGCAGCAGATGACCCGACATAAAACAAGAAGCAGTCGAGGGCTCCACTGGCGTATCGGTGTGACCGCAAGCGCCTTGGCTGGGCTTCCGACAATGGAAGGGAAAAGCTGCGATTCAAAGCTTGGTGCAAAACCAAGCTCATCATGTGTCCGCCAAAACTTTGAAGCTTCCTTCCAAGCAAAACCGACGTCGTACTATCAATTGCTTGTCTAGGGTCATCTTTACGTCAATATTATGTTCCTGTCGTATTCGTTCGGATGATGTTCATGAGCAGTCGGTGTATGACGGGACTCCGATTTTCGCGGCCGCGGCTCGCTGTGCGGCTCCGGTAGCATTGTGCAGGTAACATCGGCCGTAGCGAGGTACCAGACTGCGGCTGTCACGCCACATGGCGGAACCTGGCTGCCGGATATGCTTCTTGTTGAGTTATGTGGAACTGGGGGTCGTGTTGCTGACTAAATTTGCTATCGGAGTTGGGGGCAGTGGTTGGCATCTTCCGTAACTAGGTGGGTATCTTCCAAGGCGCCAATGTTGGGGATGCCCCATTTATACTTCATTGATGCGGCTCAATTCACGGCCGCGTGAGTCAGAGAAATTCTTCCGTTTTACGCGAAGGATGGTTGTTGCGGTCAGTGTCTGAGGGGTCCTGTGAGTGAAATGGGATCAAGCTCGACTGGAGGCAAGTGTGTGGACGGCAAGACTGCCGAGGACGGAGAAACTCATGTCGACCTGTCTTCTTGGCTGTGCGAAATAGTTGTAGTTGTTATCAGAGTGCTTGGAAGCAGAGGTTGTGTGCATGACGCTTCACTGCTTTCAGGTTAGTGGTGAGGATTGTAAGGAAGTGGAAGGTGCGAGGGCGTACTGGAGGTGCAAACAAGACACTAAAGTACAACACCATCTTGCACGCATTGTAGATGTTAGGGTATCTCCGGCTTGATTATCAGTTATCCTTACCTTGGACTATATACTTGCTGGAGTGACGCAAAAATTATCGCCCGGATACTTTTCCGTGAGCACTGATTCCCACTCACCCACAACAACTCCCCACTGCGGCAATAGATACAGAACCCACTTGCACAAAACACGCATCTTTGTGCTTGCAAACAGGCTGGCGCTGAAAATCCTGCCATCTCTCCAGAACATGAGTCTGATATGTACTTTTCCGAACCGTCGTTGACTAGTCTGGTGCTAAACAATCACATCCAAAGTCCCTCACCTGCTACTTGCCTACTCCTGCACAGACTCTCCTACCTCCCCAACCCTCCAGCAGATTCGCCTTAGAAATCTCCATCTGTATCATGCTCCAAAGTGACACGCTTCATCCCCATAGCCCCTACTCCTCCTCCTACTCCTCCCCCTCCTCCTCCGCAGCAACCTCCCTATAACACCTCCCCCCGCCACTCCTCCCATGCTCATGATACCGCCTACACCACGCCCCCTCGGTACTCTCCTCACACTTCAACGTCAACCTCCTCCTCACCATCCTCAGTGCACTCTGCATAACATTCCACACCAACTCGTGATGCACCTCCTCCCCCTTCTTGCGCGCTGCTTCCATCCCTTTTTCCGTAACATCGCCGGCCAGCGCGAGCGCGTCGGCCCAGAGAAGGCGTGCGCCGCAGGTGGGGGGCGTGTGGTGGTAAAGTAAGGTGAGGAGGTGGAGGGGAGGGTCTGTAATGTTGGGTTCGAGATCGGGGTCTGTGGCGTCGAGGTGGAGGTTTATGGGGTTGACGTCGTATTCGGAGGGGATAATGGTGCCGGTGAGGCGGGCGCGGTGGGCGGCGCGTTTGCGGGCTTCGAGGGCTTTGTTGCGGCGCCAGAGGGTGTAGGCAGGGTCCGTGTAGGCTTTTTTGCGGCGCGCGTGGAAGGCGCGGATCCAGGTGTCGGTGATTAGGTCGCAGAGGTTCCAGAGGTTTTCGTGGTAGCAGAGTATGTAGAGGTTGGTCAGGAGCGAGGCGCTGTAGGGTTGGATGGCGTCAGGATCGGCGGCGTTGCTGAGACTGGGGAGGTCGATGTGGGTTTTGGTGCTGGCCTTGAGGCTGTTCAGGATGTCGTAGACGTCCTGGCTTGGTTGGAAGCTGGTGTGCTCAAAAGAAGACTGAGCTGCGAGTGTGGACGATGATGGACAGTCTTCTTCCTCACTGACCGTATCCAAGTGGGATATAAACGAGGATTGTTTGCCGCGTGGACGACCCACGCTTCGCTTTTTCTGATGTTTGTATGATGATGAGACTTCCGAATATTGGATGTTACCCAGAGCATTCGCTGTGCTGTTTAGCAATGCTGCTTTGTATAGGTTTCCCGAGAAAATACACTTACGCAAATTACGCGAGAAGTCTGGCTGAAACTTGATGTCGTCGTCTCCAAAGCCTTTAGAGCTAAGTCCCATCATCTGATCATAGTCACTGCCCTCTATGACATCCTCATGCTGCGGCTTATGTACTGACCGTCTAGTCCGCGTCTTCACTGACGATTGCCAAGCAGGGTACTGTGGAAGATCATTGTTGTAGTCTGTATTCTCGTCGTTGAACGTCGTAGGAAACGGATCCTTCTTCTCTTCTGGATCTTTGGGATTGAGCCTGAATTTTATCTTCAACTTCGGCAACGGTCCCATTTCCGCAGCCTTTGAACCTGGTGACTCTGACCGCGACGACCTAATTCTGGAGGCATCCCGGCTCTGCGACGAGCGCCTGGAAGTGGTAGACTGCTGCCTCGCCATTGGCGCAATTGCTTCTCTCACTTGACGGTTTTTCTTTGCTGTGATCGTAGTTGAGTTGTACTTCCGTGTATTCGCTTTCCGCAATCCGGATCAAAAAGCCCAACTTTATAAGTTACTCAGCACTCAAAACATTGTGAACAACGAGGTGAATCTTCGTCCGCTCACCTCTGAACAAACGCCCAAACCACCCTAATAATACAACCCCGCCAAGCAGGTGAAAGTGAACCCCCACTCCCCTCTCACCTTCACCCCCAATACCTCCCATGCACCCTCTCCCCCCTCCAGATACACTCCCCACAAACCAACCCATCCTCCCCCTTCCACCCCTCCTCCCTACAATTGACCCCGCACCGCCTCTCCGACAAACACCAAACCCTATGCCCGCACTTCAACTCATGCGGCACGCGTCCGGGGACGTACAACACAGGACACAAGAGTTCCTCTATCGCCGGCGCGGGCAGCAGCGTTGCGCAGGCAATGATAGCGCGTGAGAGTGCTAAGCAGCGGCGGGGAAGAGGGGTGGTGTCTGCGGGTGGAAACATGATGTAGTACCTGTCGAATGGGATTGCGGTGCAGACTTCGCAGTAGAGGGTGTCGGCGTGGATATCTTTGCTGTCATCGGTGAAGGTGATTCCATCGCCGCTTTGTCTGTTGAAGTAAAGTTGTTAACAAAGTAGAACGAGATAGCTGGAAGGGAATGCAAGAAACGTACGTGGGCTGTGGGTCTGGGAATTCGCTGGAGCGCGATGAGCGGGGGTCGGTGGTGTGGTGGCAGTTGCGGGCGCAGCGCCGGTCAGGGTCGTCGATTGTGACGATGTGGCCGCAGGTGAGGAGGTGGAAGAGCATTGGGAGTACGAGGCTGTGGGGGTTGGGGGTGGAGGAGCAGGGAGTGATGACGGGTAGGTTGTAGGAATCGATCGTCGAGAAGATGTCGATTGATTCATGGGGTTCGGGTTCGACTTGAAAGGGGGTTGGAGGCATGTTGATGTGGTCCATACTTACAATAGTTGAGTGGATGGTGTAGTTGCAGAGTCTTTTCTGAAGGTAAGATTTCAAATACGTAGAAGGGCGCAAACAGTTATATTGTGCAGCGCTGCAAACGACAGGCGATGAAAAACGAATGTAATAGTGAGTGAGAACTACATGTCCATGAAGTGAAAGCAAAGCTGAAATCAATTTTTGTCTCGAGGAACATCCATGTCCTCATACGGGTATCTTGTACTACAACTTGAAAGAAAGTCCACTGACGACATACGAAAAAATGCGACATGACAAGCCCTCAGTGCTCATGCGCATGCATATCACCATGGTCTGCCGCATCTTGCCCCGGACGTAGCGGAGGACATCCATTCAACTCCATACAAACATCGATGCCATGCAGTTTCCTGAACCGCGTCCTCGCATCGTGAGTTTTGCTATCTATAACCAACTCATCTGGGTGAAGTGCGACCACTCGCTCCATTATCCTACGCGGAATATGGACAATACACACTATCTTGACCTCTGGTCGGGGCTCGTTGCTGTGTGCCACTGGTGGGCTCCCAGCTACTGATGAAGCATCACTGCTGGAAGACGAATCAAAGTTCATCGATGTGGATGGGCCGGAATAGAGAGCATCACGAAGATTCAGGCAGAGCGATTCAATACCCAGTTCCCGCTCGAAGCGGAGAAACGTTGAGAACAGAGTGTGTGGATCACGTGGATCTGTTCTGTTCGCTTGTGGATTTACCATGGACCCGATATGATGTGGCGCGTGGAACAGTGGTGGTGGATGGATGTTGGCTTGCTGGTGCATCTGCAATTGTTGTTGCGCAAGCAAGTTGACATGCGGGGGGTGGTTCTGGTGATGGTGAAGACCATGATGAGGCCCGCCTAGTCCCATGGGGCCTTGTGCAAACTGCAAAAAGGGCATTGCCGGTGCTGGTGGCGGAGGAGGTGGAATTTGATTGCCTCCTGTTTGGGCTTGATTGCCTCCAGCAGCAGCCTGTGCATTCGCATTGGCCATGACCTGCGTGAGACTCTGAACTTGTTGCTGGAGGGCATGCATCTGCTGTCCCAGAGCGATCGGCAAAGCTTGGGGATGTCCTCCCGGTCCTCCCATGGCACCCACAGGCGCAGCTTGCAGACTCCCAAACGCAGCAGGCAGCCCCATGGCGCCACACCTAAGAAACACCCACAGACTCTTCAATTTGGGGAGATCGTTCTTCAAACTCCTTTCTGCTTGTTTGCTTCCCAGATACGCGGTCCACAGCTTCAAGTCTTTCTGTCTAATGCGGAAATAGACACTCGTTATATTGATGGAAGCGGAAGATGCGACCACGCGGAACACATTGCAGTCGCTGGGGTGCGTGAACAGGAACCTGTTCTGCGAGTACAAAATGTCGATTGACTCGCTATACACCTGCTTGTTGGTGCGAAGAAGGCTGGTGCTGACATTGTGGTGGTCGGCGTCTAGCGATTTGGATGGCCACCAAAAGGGCGAGTCTGAGACGAGAGCAAATGCATAGACGCGGTCCCGTAGCTCTCTGGGGAGCGACAAGAGGAGCGAAAAGGACGGATCGGGCCGGGTGTTGAGCGTGTGCATATGCGTTGTCGTGGGTGTGGGGAGATGGCCGTACGAAGGGTTGCGGAGACGGGCTGGGCCGCTTGGGGATTGCGGCGCTGCGTCCATCATGGTGGCGTCGGAAGACGAGGTGCTGTTGGAAGAAGAGCGCGAGCGCAATGGCGTCGAATTACGCGAAGCCATGTTGTCTTACTACGTACAATGTTGGTACACAGAGGCGGGAGGTGAGGGCTGGTATGTAGCCAGCCTGGTGGGGCGGTGATGCAATACGATAATGCGACGGGGTATTATTAGTCGACAAGGGCGTGCCGTGCCTGGTATTAGTACGCATGTGTGGTATAAGCGAAGGACCTCTGGGCGTAGAGTTTGCTGATGGAATCGCCGGGACAAGAAGATTGCTCAGCAATTGTGAGCGGAGAAGAATCATCAGGGGCTTACTGGTCACCCAGGTAGGAGCAAGGAACATGTTGAGGTGGATTGTTGGGTAGCCATGGCGGTGTCGTTGCATGCTGAATGGTTGGGATTTCATCGTCATCCGCGCGGCTACACACGACTCCATCTTGTCCCACCAGCCGTCCAATCACTTGTGCCCTCTTTGACTTTGTTCTTTCGGGCTCCGTAGACGGGCCGCCAATCTCCCTCGTGACATTCCTGCCCGTCGCCTTGGCAGGGCTGAAGCGCTGGCTCGTTGCTTTACGGCCGCACGCTTCATCTGTCAACGGCGTCATTCGCGGGAGGCTAGCCTCCGAACTCCTAGTCGGCAAGATACCAAGGTTTGAAGAGCACTCTAATACTCCGACCCGTGGCGCAGCCGCTCATGTAAGCTAGCCAATCAAGTGCTTCAACCGAACATTGTGTGATGGGAACCTTGTCACAGGACCTGGAACAAATACAAATAGATGTCACAAGCACGTCCAGAAGATAGAAACTCGATCTAACGAAAAGACAATTCATGCTACATGATGAGGAAATACATGTGGTATACACAAAAACATATTTGCTAATTGACCCAAAAACTACATCTTGATATCTACCTTCGTGAACCAACAGCTCCCCCTCTACCATCTCCACGAACTCCAAGTATCCCTCACCATCAACTCCTCTCCCCCTTCCCCCTCCTACTCCTCCTCAACTCCCTCCCCTCCGCCACACAAACCGGTGGATCCTCCACCCTAAACTCCCTACACCCGGACACGGGCTTTGCATTAAAACTCGCCCTGCGCAGCGTTGCACCAGTCCGAGCTCCCAACGACGACTTAAGGAGGGGCAGCGTAGTAACCGACGGCAGCGTAACCGGCAGCGGCAATGTAGCCACCGGCGACTTAAGCAAAGGAGAAGCAGGCCCAATTGGTCCCACACTCAGCGTACTCGACTTGCGACGGTACGCCGCATTAAGCAGCGCATCAATCTGTGCTTGTGTCAGGAAAGTTTCAGTGCCGTCGAGTGGGGCGAGATCGAAGTTTGCCCACGAAGCGTCGTCGGTGGGGAAGAGGGTGCTGCAGCTTTCTTTGCGGGCGTCGTTGGCGGGGAGAGGGGCGGAGGGGGAGAGAGCGGATGCTGGGGTGGTGTTGCTGGTGGTGCTGGTGCGAGGGGAGGGGATGGTGTCGTGGGGTTCCGAGTAGTTGATGCGAGGCTTTCGGCGGAGAGAGCTTGAGCGGGATGAGGGTGGCAGGTCTTGAGGGGGTGAGGAAGGGGAGGAAACGTCGAAGGTGATTGTTGGCTTTTTAGAGCGAGACTTGTGGGATGGACGTGAGGAGTCGGAAGAATCTGAATCATCGACTCTACTACGCTTCTTAGGCTTCCTTGAGGGGATTACGATTTCGTCGTCTGAATCTTCGAGTGAGTCGCGCCGGGGCCGTCGAGTGCGTTTAGTACTACTTTCCTCTCCGCCTTCAGCGATCAATTGCTCCCGGAGTACCATGCATTCCCTGATTCGCTCCTTAATCTCCGGATGGAATTTATCGTAGTAAGCCGAGTAGTCAAAGTCCTTTTTCGATCCGTCTTTTAGGAAGTCCTTGAAAGCAGGGAGCCGCTCGATCTTCTTGTCTACAAGCTTCACCTCCATGTCACCGCGGTGTACAGTGAAGGAGCCAGGCCGGATTGTGCGTTGGAGGATAAACTGCTTCATCTGCGACTTTGCACGGTGTTTAATGTTCATGTCGTATAGAGCGTAGACGAGCGTGCGTTCATGTGGCTTGGGCGCACCCCGGGCATATTCTTCATGAACAGGGTAGTTTGCAAACTCAGGTGTCTCGGCAAGCCGGCCTCTCCTGGCAGCGTTGATGAATTTCTTCGCCACAGCTGCTTCGTGGTGGTGCTTGGGGCCAAACGCAGAGGCAAAATGCCCTTTGGGTTCTTTCTCCATGCTCACGCGCTGGTCCACTCTAACGTCTGCAATCTGGCAAATGTATGAAAAGTCTAGAAAGCGCTCCATGCAGTACAGATGGACGTATCCAACACAATCGTATGGGTCAACTACACCCGGGCCATATGTCTTGTGCTTCTCGTCAAAAGCAACTCGGTAGTTGCCTACTTCTGCTGTGCCCTTGCCAGTGTACTTTCGCATTGGGCACTTCTCGAATCGGCAATGGCTATGAGATGCAGATGCATATCGACGCGCTGAATCAGAAGCTACAGGCTGGATCCAGATACGGAGGTTATCGCCAGGATACTGTGTAATGTACTCGTGGATTTGACGGGCAGACATGGTGCGCTTCTTAAACTCGTGCATACCATTGTTCTTGCTGTACTCAAACGCGTAATGTGTCGAATCCCAATCCCCATAAGGAAGTCTTTTGGACTTGTATTTATGACCCTCCTCTGCGTGCTGATTAATGCGAGCTGTGCGAGTCGTTTCGCCTTTGGTAGTGTGATTGATACGGACCCAAGGTTTATCCTCGCATTTCTTTGGCTTTTCGCCAGCTTTCAGGACGCCCCTGCTGACGGGTTGGCTTAGAGAGCCGTCCTCGGAAACCATGGATTGTTTGCGGGAAACATCTGGTGACGAAATGACTTTTACAAGTTCATCTTCTCGTGGCCGTCTGAGAGTATGTGTGTCATCCTCCGAGTCCGTGCTATATGCCGATCGTTTCCGCTTTTTTACTGGCTGTGCCTCCATTTGCTTTGCTACCTTATAGTGCTCGATTGGTATTGGAGGGTATTCAGGGTATTGTCGTGAATATTGTTGCTGTGGGAACTGGAGATAAGGCTGAGTCGGATATAGTGGAACAGACGGATCAGGATACATCTGTCGTACTTGGCTAAGCATTGGATATTGTGACATATCCGGCATATATTGAGTGCCGCTGGGAAGTGCTGAGAGTCCTGGGGTGGCACCGTCATATTCTGGTATCGTCCATGAAGTTGGGTCCCAGGCGTTTGACCCTAGAGGTACATTACCATATGGTTCTGTAGAGACTGGTTCAAGCGAGTTTAGTACATCCCCAAGGTCATATTCAGCCTCAGTCGTATATTGCAGATTGTTATACTGCTCGGGCGGAGCATTTGATATCCCTAAGCCAATTTCATATTGAATATTCTGCAAGAGGTCAGTGTATTGAGACTGCTTAGCATCGGAGCCATTGGCAGCTATGTCAGGGTCATTTGTTGCAGCCCAGTCAAGATTATCGAGATTAAGGGTATCATTCATAAAGGAATCGTTAGCAGTGAACTGACTTAGATCAAAGCAATCATCGAAGAGAGATGGATCGATTACGCTAGGCAAACCGATTACACCACTAGAACCGCTCATCTGCTGTGATCCAGAAAGGCTGGGCTGTCGGGTCGTTGCAACAGCATCGGCTTGTGATTGTGCACCTTGGGCCATCTTTTCGGAACCAGCCGAATTACGGCGAGTACGACTAGACGAAGCCTTTGCTGATTTACAGTCTGGTTCACCAGATTGGTATGATGTATGATTGTGTAAAAATGCACCTGAAGACTTTGGAGATATTTGCGATGAAGAGATGGAAGATATTGGTTTTTTTGATAGGTGGAAAGCAAACAGGGTGTACTCGCAGGGTAGCCAGCATCCAGGCATATATGTGACTTCACACGGTTCTTTGATGGACTCATTACAGATCCTGGTTGGACAAAGGAAGCGTATATCAGAGTTCTAGTCATTGTGCCAAAAGCATTTGTCATTGTCTTGATCATACAAAGCACGTCCCGAGGGACAGCCAGCTCATGGAAAACCAGCCTCATCTATAACCTTTTGTTACTGTTGAATCTCCGATGCCTAGGAGATGCAACAAGGCCACAAGCTAACAAACGATCGTTTCTTTTGAGCCATTAAGACTGCACTATCAGAGGATTTTCAAAACACTCAGTGAAAGGTCTTTACCTGCTGACTGTTAGCTGCTGAGCTCAGTAATGGAGGCAGCGCAGCAATGAAGAATTGTTCAAATCAGAAGATGTTAAGCAAATTTTTCGACACTATTGTTACGAACAGGTCTGTGAATTTTTGTCTTTTTTTCATCATATGAGAAAGAAAGAGAGAGATGTGTAACATACCAGGAGAAGTCAATGAGATGCCGAGGCTAGATTAGAGGTGAGTACATAGCGTTGGCGTAGCCGGATAGCATCATGAGGCCTGAATTGAGGCTGATGAGCGCATGCTTGCGCGTTTCAATCCGCGAAAACAGATTGCTAGAGTCGCAGATATATGATTGGGCATTGGTAGCAGACCCGACCACCAAACGGCGGCGCCCATGGGTGTGGCTGCTTTAATGTTGGAAATGTTGCAGTGTTGGAGCCGAAGCTCGAGGACAAAGAAAATTTATGCCGAGGCGCTAGTAACGACGGAACAGTTGTTTTGCCGAGCGACTGAACTACGGCGGACCGCTCGCATTGACCCTCACCACCCTCACGGACCTCGACACGAGAACAATGTTTGCCTGAGGAATCTGGGGTTCCGATGATTTTCGCTTGTCTGAGCTGTCAAACGGGGGAGTCATGTCCGTATCCGCTTCGGCTCGCACTGTTTCCGGCTGCAGTTTTCAACGGTGAAACACGTTTTGTGTTCAAGGATCAAACATGACATGTTTAGTCAAACGTACGCGCCTTCGTGACCATTATGCTGGCACATATATAGTGAGAGTGATAAAGCAACTGCCAAGGAAAAAACTGAAAAATGACGTTTGATCCAATAAGTTAGCCTGATATAGCTGTCTTCTGGCTGTACCACGGTTTCGAAACGGGTATCAAAATGGCTTTCTCGGAGGGACTTCGTCACGGGAATTAGTCAATGGTCCGCTACATTATAGCTAGCGATAGAGAATCGTGCCGAAACAGCGTCAAGCTTGAAAGCATATGGGGAAAACGGCCGTATATGCATCGAAAGTATTGACAAGGGTACTCCTTCTCTTATCACATCAAGCCGTATGCATTGATATGTCTGTTCACTAGATCCATGCAAGAGCACGCAAGTATCCTGCCGGTAATCATCCTAAGAGCCACGTGGAAGAACGGACCATTCTTGTGCCAGGACATTGGACCCAAAACGTCTGAGCCGTGTCTCTATGACATTTTGGTGTATCACAAAACCATACGAGTCACCAAGACTCTTAGTAGCCAATCGGTGGCTGTGGCCTCAATGACAAAGTTCACAAGCCGGTGCTAAACATGAAGCGACCCTTGGTCGGATCGCATGATACCGGGGTAAACATTTCCAACGTGACATTCATAACCGAACGACTGCTGCGTACAGTTTGAGACTTGCCACCTGCTTCCTGTTCTCTCGGCCAATCTTCTGTCAGGTTGTGGTCGGGAGTCATTTTTTATCAATTATCATAATTCCTTTTGTATTTCAATGTTTATTAGTATCACATAATGGACAAAGCAAACGTTGAGGAGCTGGCGCTCCTTGGCACCATTACTGTCCACCTCATAATCACCCTTTTAATACTCACCTATCTCAGTGTCGGTCTACGAATATGGGCCCGGTATCGCGTTACGAAGTCTCCTGGTTGGGATGATGCCGCCATGATAGCCACACTGATGCTGTTTACGGTTTACTGCGCGCTTATTCTCGCCATGACCTTTCGGGCGAAAAGCATCAAGCCCTGGACCCCAACTAGTATCCGCACAACTCTGATCGTACGTGACTGCGCAGCGACTCATGTTGCCGTATCTTCTGTTCCATACGCTAACCAGCGGCTAGTTTGTCCAACTTTCAGAAGTCTTCTATCTTCTCACAACAACCTTTCTGAAAGTCTCTCTCGGTCTGTTCTTCTTGCGAGTCTTGACCAAAAAATGGCAAAAGCATGTCTTCCACACCGTTCTCACAATTGGAGTGTTTTATGGCTTTTTCTACTTCTTCATTGTGCTCTTCCAATGCGGCGACCCTAGACATATTGGCGACGATTTTATTCAAAAGTCATCAGACAAGTGCCTGCCTCCAGCACTCCGGATGAGCGCTGGATATATTTACGGTATCATTAACGTCTTGGCAGACTGGACATTTGTCTTGATCCCCATCTCAGTCCTGATGGATAGTGATTTGGATCGCCGGAGCAAGATGAGTGTTGGCATGGTCATGGCCTTGGGAGCTGTTGGCAGTGTAAGCTCGATAATGAGACTGGTGTATCTGGATGGCTTAGAGTTGAGCACCTTGGAATCGTTGAACCGTATGTTTTTTTTCCTTTGTAAAGTTTTTCTTTGAAGGATAGTACTGACATAGAAACAGCGCAAGCGGTAAAGGCAACCATTTGGGCGACTGCCGAACCTGGGACTGGAATCATCGCAGCTTCCATTGCCATCCTACGCCCTCTGTTCCGGCAGATATTCAACGATGTCCGCAAGTCAGCATCACTCATTTCCAAACCTCGCAAGTCGGAGTCTTCGGACGACGAGATTGCACTGAGAGGTCCTGAAACTGTGACACCGAATGTGGACAGCAAGCCGCTGAACGTAGAGACTAAGAGGATGAGCATGGACAGCATCCGTGGTGAGGACGCCCTGTCGCCATGGAGCCCAACCATTTCGTCGACAGCGGGTGTGCCGCGCATGATTCTTGTAAAGGGAAAGACGACGCCAGCATCGTGGCCAAAGACGGGATGAGATGGTGTGTATGCAGGAGGACAATGAGTGAATACGTGCCATGCGACGAGAATGCAAACTTGAAATGAACCCGCATAGAACTTTAGTCTGTTAACATGAGTTTTCAATGCAAATGTTTGTAATGTATAATCAGTCGCGCTAATATGGTGTATGTTTGGCGCCGTGTGACTCTAGGTCTTGTGTGGTGAGAGCAATAGGAGGTGTTAGGATGTGATGTACGCACGTGACTCGGCCATTGCCAACCAGCATCTCAAGTGGATTTGGAACAAAGTTTTTTTTTTCGCAACCGTCGCCATGTCAAAACATAGTGATTGCATACTAGGTGTAAATATTAGAGAGGGTGTCGATGGTAGCCAAGGGGCTACTAAGAGGCCATTGCATCACCCAGAGCCACGGTCCAATGAGATGACGTAGCGGGAGAAGCAGACTCGGCAGAGCGGCCCAGGAACAGCGGCGGGATATGGGCGAAGTCTTGAGGCTTGGAATTGGGGTATCCCCAGCACATTCACCATGGCATAGCCACCTGCCCATCCGCGCCATGTGTCCCTCGCAGCAAGAGACGACATGTGGACACCAATGCTGTACCGATCCCGAGCCTCTGCAAGGCCTCGGGCTGTTTGTCTGTATGCGCACGCCTGCAGGTTCCCCCCATCCGCATACCACGCCCTCGTCTCGCCGTGCATGGTGCCGCTCGCCCGCCAGCACCGCAGCTTCCATGACTACTTCATAACCCATATCCCCTCGAGCTCCCTGTCTCCCGACTCGCGAACCCAGCCCGCGCTTCACCATCGACTCCCCCGCGACAAGAGCACGCCTTACAATGCCGACCAGACGAGCCGTTCGCCCGCTGCTGTCATCGGTCCGCCGTCGCGAGACATGACGGTTGTGCGCATACCGTTGAAGAGTGCCAAACACCACTTTGGCGTGTCATTATCCCGAGGGGCACGGCCGTACAATGAGGATGCATTCCAAGCCGGCACCATCGACCTCCCCGCATTCGCGAAGCGGCGGCCCATTTCCCTGACCAGAAAGGGGCAGAGTGGGGACGATGGCCAAGTTACACCAGAAGTAGGCGCGAGTGGCGATCCTCAGGTGTTCTACTTTGGTGTTTTTGACGGGCATGGCGGTGCCGAGTGCTCAGGGTTCCTCAGGGAGCAGCTGCATGACTACTTGGAAAAGGCGACACAGCAATTTGAGTTGAAGAGCAGTCTCACACGGGACAGAGGCGAGGCACACGCAGGCAGCCCAAAAGCAAAGGGCCAAGCTACGTCTGGAGATCAAAGACAGAGGGACAAAGAGAGCCTAGAGGCCATTGAGACTCATACGCCGCCCGGGACGCAAGTTATGAAGCCACCACAGCCCGGTACCAAGGACCAACTACCAACGGCGGGGTCAAAATCGACTGAGAGTGCCATGGCTGGTGTGCCGCCGGTCAAGCAATCGGACAGCATACGCAAGGCAGAGGAGCTGGAACGACAGCTGGTCAAACAGTGGAAGGAGCTGGTTGGCGGATACTTTCGACGCTTCAAACCAGAGCACTTTTCCATGTCGGCAGGTGGACAAGGCCATGCTGCTGAAAAGGAGGTTGTGGAGAGGAGGCAGGCAAGCTCGTCGGGCATATCAGACAGGGTTGGAGAGGGCATTGGGATTGAGACTGTGCTTGAGTATGCCTTCCTCAAGGCCGACTACGACTTTGTTGCGGCACAGGTGGGCAAGAAGGAAGAGGATGTTGTTCGAGCAGACAAGGCACTGAACGACGATGACATTCTTGGCCAACCATCGCGCACCACGAGCAGACACATTGGCGGAGAAAACCGATTCAAGGGCGGCAGCACATGCAGTGTGGCACTTATTTCTACACCGACGGCATCGCCATTCTGGCACCCATCTTCGCCATCATCACTGATTACAGCGCACGTGGGAGACACGAGGATACTTTTGTGCAATACAGCAACTGGACTGGCTGTGCCGTTGACGTCAAACCACCATCCGTCGCTGCCAGAAGAAGCCACTCGACTCCGACGGTTTGCCGCATCGCTTGTGACAGACTCATTCGGAGAGGAGCGTATGTCTGGGCTGGCGAACACGCGGTCATTTGGCGACATGGCGTCGAAGCGGGTTGGGGTGTCTGCAGAGCCAGAGATACGACGGATCGAACTGTCGCCAGCCGAGTATTCATTCCTGGTTCTTTGCTCGGATGGGGTGTCAGGGCACCTTTCAGACCAAGAGATTGTAGACATTGTCAAGGAGGCAAAGACGCCGGAGCAGGCAGCGCGGGACATGGTTAGCTTTGCTGTGGAGACGTCGACGGGCAGCGAAGGAGCGGACAATGCGACGGGGCTAGTGGTGCGACTGGGAGGATGGGAGCGGCGGGGCGAAGGAGGGCTAGGCAGTTTGGGCACCAAGGAGATGCGGGACTGGAGGAGGCAGGAAGCAGAGAACCCGAGAGCCATGGGACGGATGTAGAAGCATCTTATCTTTTTTTTTGCCTTGTTTTCTTTTTCTTGCGTGGGGTGGAGGTCAGGGTGCATTATCAGGCGCATTTTCTTCTTCTTTTGTTTGCTTTGTAGCAGAGTAGACGGCGGTGTTGCAGCTGTAGAAGGTTGATAGACATCACGTGCCCGTCTCCATTCTCCCTCTCCCTCTCCCACCCCTCGCTGCCTCGGTGTCCGGCGGCAGGGCTCCACTATGACGAGGGCATGTCTTGGGTAGTACATGTATCTACGGTAGCAACATGTAGTATGTGTACTTTGCATGTACTACAGGTACGGGGAAACGGCCGGACAGACATGGGCGAGTGCTATTCGTCATGGTGATGATGTGCGGTGAGCGGCCCAATCGCCTCGTCATGCCTTGGATTTGGACGCATGGAATTGCTTGGCATGCTCACTCTGGTCGATGTACTAGCATGTACGCACAGGCAGAGCAGGTTCCTTGTTCCGAGTGGAGAGGACAGACATGTAGTATGTGCAACTATCGATATGGACATGTGTTGGTGTTTGTTCCTGGCGGGTGGAGGGGCAGCACCGTCTTGGTGGCCATGGGCAAGAAGATGGGACATGTACCTGTACCCGAGTACATGGACTACCTACCACTCGCCATAAGTAGTAGACACATAGCACCACCCACCTATCCAGACAGGGCTGCAGGCGGGAGGGCGAGCGTCGGGCGCGCGGGGGGAGTTGCAAGCACGATGCGCAAGCGAGCCAATGCGCCGTTGCCAGGCGGGCGCTGGCTGCTGCCCTCGACAAGCTGCGCGCGCCGTCTGAGCGAGTCTGTGGTGTCTGTGTGTCTGTCGTCGACGGTGCCTGGGCGAGACAGAACTACACCTTCGTCCGCCTTCCATACTTTCCCATACCCACCCACACAAACCCCCACTCACGCCCTTTGTCTCCGCGCTCGCCTGTTTGCCTGCCCTAGTTCCCTCTCTCCCCTTGTTCTCTCAACCTCTCTTACTTATTCCACCCACACACGCACGCACTCTTCCTCTCCCAAGAGCCATCCCGGTAGTGGGGCAGAAAGACCCTTAACAAGGAAAACAACACGTGAACTAGGCTTGTCTACGCTCGACCTTCGTTCGCTGCAAATTCCCTCCCTACGACAAACCCGACCACTGCACCTTTTTCCACCTTTACATTCCCTCCCTCTTCCTCTCTCTCTCTCTCTCTCTTCTCCCTGCACACACACACACATACACGCTCTCTGTGCCCCTCTTTGCCGCACCTCCCTTCTGCCTATTCCGCCCCAGCGGCCTTTTAATCTCTTCGCCCACTAGATACCCCTCTTCGAGCCCGCCAAACGCTCCCCTTCACCCATTATGGATATCAACCAGGTGTTGGAGGGAACCTACGCTGCCGGTACGCCGCTCTCACCTCCTCCCAAGACGCTGCTTTTTGCTTTTTCCTTGCTCAAGGGACTCTCCTCAGCTGACTCCCCCGTGCAGATGCCAGTATTCGTAACAGCGCAGAGCAGCAGCTTCAACAGGCTGCCGACTCCAACTTTGTAAGTCGCCCCAACTACAAGGCTGCACACCCGCCTTCTGCCACACGCACCCACTAACATCACCGCCTTGCTCCAGCCTCAATATCTCACTGTCCTCGGTGGCGAACTCGCAAATGAACAGGCCGCACCGCAAATTCGGCAGGCCGCCGCGCTGGCCTTGAAGAACGCTTTCACCGCCCGCGAATACGCCCGGTTACGTCAGGTCCAGGAGCGATGGCTCGGCCTCGATCCCCAGATCAAGCAACAGGTCAAGGCCATGGCCCTCGGCACTCTCGCTACTCCCAACAAGGGCGTCGGCTCGGCCGCTGCACAATTCATTGCCTCTGTCGCCGCCATTGAGATACCCCGCAATCAGTGGCCGGAGCTCATGACTACACTCGTCGAGAATGTCGGCCAAGGCACAGACAGCCAAAAGCAATCTTCGCTCACTACAATTGGTTTCGTGTGTGATACAGACGACGTGGAGCTGAGGGATGCCCTGGCACACCACTCCAATGCCATCCTAACTGCCGTTGTTCAGGGTGCCCGCAAGGAGGAGACCAACAACGACGTCCGTGTAGCAGCCATCAACGCCCTTAGCGACTCGATCGAGTTTGTCCGCTCCAACTTTGACAATGAGGGCGAGCGCAACTATATTATGCAGGTCATCTGCGAGGCCACACAGGCCGACGACACGCGCATTCAGCAAGGCTCATACGGATGCTTGAACCGCATAATGGGTCTCTACTACGACAAGATGCGCTTCTACATGGAGAAGGCGCTTTTTGGTCTCACAATCCAGGGCATGAAGAGCGACGAGGAGGATGTCGCCAAGCTTGCAGTAGAATTCTGGTGCACCGTCTGCGAGGAGGAAATCGCCATTGAAGACGACAATACACAAGCACAAGCAGAGGGCTCGACTGAGCTTCGAGAATACTTCAACTTTGCCCGTGTCGCTACTCAGGAAGTTGTCCCCGTGCTGCTAGAGCTCATGGCCAAGCAGGACGAGGATGCCGATGATAACGAGTACAACACATCGCGTGCCGCATATCAATGTCTGCAGCTCTGGGCTCAGTGCGTCGGAAGCGGCGTCATGCCCCCAGTCTTGGCTTTTATCGAAAAGTACATTCGTTCAGAAGATTGGCATTACAGGGATGCGTCGGTTTCCGCCTTTGGTGCCATTATGGAGGGACCCGAGGAGTCGGTTCTAGACCCCATTGTGAAGCAAGCCCTCCCAACTCTGATTGGCATGATGGACGACCAGAACATCCACGTCAAGGACTCTGCTGCCTATGCACTGGGTCGCATTTGCGAAGCTGTTCCAAGCGCACTCGACGCACAGCAGCACCTCCCGCCACTCATTGGCGCTCTCTTCAACGGGCTCGCCAGTAACCCCAAGATGGCCGCATCTTGCTGTTGGTCTCTAATGAACCTGGCCGATAGATTCGCCGGGGAACCAGGATGCCAAAGCAACCCTCTGTCGCCTCACTTTGCGCAGAGTGTCCAGAGCCTCTTGCAGGTTACCGAGCGAGCCGATGCCGACAACACGCTACGCACTGCTGCTTACGAAGTTCTCAACTCTTTCGTAAACAATGCTGCTGGCGACAGTGTTCCTCTTGTCAACGAGCTCTCAAACGTCATTCTTGAGCGCTTGGACAAGTCCATGGCGCTGCAGACTCAAGTTGTTAATGTTGAGGACAAGCTGACTCTTGAAGAAATGCAGACCAGTCTTTCCAGTGTCATCATGACCATCATCCAGCGACTCGAGGGCGACATCAGGCCTCAATCCGACCGTATCATGCAGGCCTTGTTGAGCTTGTTGTCGTCGCTGCCTCCCAAGTCCAGTGTTCCAGACACTGTCTTTGCCGCCATTGGATCCATTGCGACCGCACTCGAGGAGGACTTCCAAAAGTACATGGAGGCATTCTCGCCTTTCCTGTACAACGCCTTGAACAACCAGGAGGAACCCGCTCTCTGCTCCATGGCCATTGGTCTGGTTTCTGACATTACCCGATCTCTGGGAGAGCAGGTTCAGCCTTACTGTGATGCATTCATGAACTCTCTTCTCAACAACCTCCGAAGCCCCGCTCTGGGCAACCAGCTCAAGCCTGCAATCCTGCAGTGCTTTGGTGATATTGCACACGCCATCCACGGCGCCTTTGAGACATACCTCCCCGTAGTTGCGCAGGTTCTTCAACAAGCCGGTCAGGTGACTATCACAACTGAGGGCAACTATGAGATGATTGATTACATCACCTCTCTCCGTGAGGGCATCATGGACGCATGGGACGGATGCATTGTTGCAATGAAGAGCAGCAACAAGACTCAACTCATTGTTCCTTACATGGACTCAATCTTTGATCTTCTGCGAACCATTCAGCAGGACAGCAACCGCACTGAGGCGCTCCTCCGCTCTTCATGCGGTGTCATTGGGTAAATACTGAAGACAGCTTTAGAAGAAGTAAAAGTACTAACACTTATCAGTGACCTTGCCGATGCATTCCCTGCAGGTGACTTCAGGGAGTACTTCCGTCACGACTTCCTCACTGCTTTGGCAAGGGAGACTCGCGCAAACGCAGACTTCAGCGGCCGTACCCGCGACACTGCTCGATGGGCCCGTGAGCAGATCAAGCGCCAAGTTGGTATGTCGCTTTCCAACAATCCCTATCTCCGTCCTGCTAGTCTCTACTAGAGTCGACATATCACCCTAGTATATATTATCCAGCCCACTGACACCATCTTCCTGCAGGCGGCAACCAAGGTGTCATGGCCTGAGCGTCTTGACACCCCTTCCCCCTTCCCAGCGCCGTAGGGTTGGGCTATGTATTGGTCGTGATGTTGGATAGCCTCCATGGAGGGATTATCTGACGCGTGGCTGAAACATGGATTCTAGTTCCCTCCAGCGCTGCGCAGCACGTTGGCGATCGAACCATGTTTGCGTGTCCAAAACCGCAATTCTGCAGCAGGTCCGATTTTCCGTGAGCGGAGTTCCCCCCCGCGTGGTTCTGGATGAATTGCCGATGCCCCTGGTTGTTTCCAAAGGTGGAAATGGAGATGGAAGGAGGTATCGTGTCGACCCCACGACGTATGTTGCAGGATCGCAAGCGCTTGAGTAGCCACGGCATGTGGAGACGACCGTTAGCCAGAGCATGACTAGCACGATACGGATGGGCGATTACATCGACGACTCCAGCAGCTCACGACAACGACAACGACGACTTGAGGAACGAGCGTCGATGAGAGTACACCACTTCCCCTTGCACACCGGCCCACCCACACCATCCCCCCAACATCGCGGCACACCCGACACCCCCCAGCCCCATGCGCAAGCCCCCAACCCGAATCGCATAGCCCGAATTCTCCAACACCATCATGTAGCACCAAAAGTCTTGTAAGGCAGAAGGGCGTTTTAGCATCTTCTTTGCCAGGAGAAAGAATAGATTATTCGTCCTGTGTTTTTTTATATTTAATCGTCCCTCGACCCCGATTCATGATTTCCCACTATGCACTATCCCATGATGGCGTTTTTATACGAGAGTGGTGTTTATGTGTGTAAGTATGAAACAAAGTGGGAGGAGAGATTGTTTTTTTTTCTTCTATAGTTGTAATGATAGACGTGGATATTCATGTGGTTGTTTGTCTCGTGATGTGATGTGAGTTGTATGTTTACATGGTGAGTTATAGAGAGTGATGTATCGTGATGTGTGTTTTTCATTATTTTGTAAATGAAAGTTCTGTAACTTGGTTTTTTCCTACAAAATCCCTTCCCCCCCTTTGCAAAATCTAAACGAAATACGTACTCTAAAGCACAACTTCAGTAGCAAGCCTTTCTTTAAATCTTTTTTTTCTTCCCTTGGTCTAGTATTACATTCTCTATACAAAATCCCCATGTATATATATAATAGCCAACTCGCAGACGGAAAAAAGTCTCCTCAGACCTCTCACCCGATTTTTTTTTCTAAGATAATTAATCTAATATACGCTAGTTATGTAGCAAACTGATATATTTTAAAAAAAAAAAGGGGGGGGGGGGGGGGGTCTAATATGTATATA